CATGTTTGGGTGAGTTTACAGGAGTTTTAGCTTTTTTATTTTATTAATATTTTTTATATTTTTAATATTAATATATCTTTTTTTTTTTTAAATAATACTTATATGACCAGAGATGAGTGGATGTATGTTGATTAAACATAATCAACATACTGTTGGAAAGATGTGGTGGGTATTATTTTATCAAATTAAAATAAAAAAGAAGGAAGATGCCCCACCAGCCACCATGGATAGCTGGATCCTCCCCATTTGTTAAGCTGTTGAGTGAAGTCAATGGCAAAGTTGACTAGTGGTATTAGGATCAATCAACCACCATTTTCAGTTTGGAGGAATCTATTCTTAATTCTTCATACAAAGAGCTGCAATCTGTACATAAGATTGAAAGTAACAAGGCAAATCAAATGGAGTAGAATTACTTTTTAATATATCTCCAGACTTCAGGAATAAAAAAAAGATATACACATACATACAACCATCATGGAAGGCAGAAACAATTGTTGATGTTTGTTTGTCCAGAGTCCATACCAAGCTCTTGAGCAACTAACTGTGAGAATACCATCTTACAGTGTTGATATAATATTTGATCTGGTTGAGAGCATTTCATTTTCAGCATTATATCATAATGTTTTCATCATTTTCTGAGAAAATGGGGAACCCTGTTTTATAAGGTTTTGAGAACCAATGACAGACACCCTTGAATCTACATCACCAGGTGCAAGATGATTGCTCATAAACTGCAGCTCATAATATTGAGTGCCAAAGACTAGAAATAACCGTAACAGGTAGAATCTTTTCAGAATATGTCAAACAGAAGGTTTCTACCATTTACACAAGAAACAGTTCATACAGCTCATAAACTGCAGATTTATCAGACAGCAGAAATGTAGATCCATGAAGCAGCAAACATGAAAGCTCAAGAAATTCCTCAAAAAATTACGGAAAGAAGCACATTTATGCTAGCAAACCAATCTTAGTAATCAGATAGACAGTGTCATGCTACACCAATCAGAAGAAACCTTCAGCAATAAATGTAGAGTATATTATTAACAGAAAATTACCCCAACTTTGCACCCTATTTTCCTGTAATCACTTCTATTAAGGCCTTGGTGGTCTATTCGTACAAGCTCGTTGAAAAGAAATGCATCTCTGACCATGGGAACCAGACTACCAGTCTACCATAATACCCATTCTTGGCTGAAGTTTCAACTACTAGCCAAGTCAGTGGCAACATCACTAAATTGGAAGTAAACTCTAGGCACCACAAGCTGAGCATGAACATTTTTCATATCAACAAAAGGCACACCAAGCCACTCAACCCTGACTACTTTAGCCTTCAGCATGCCTCCACTGAGTATAAATGTCATTCAGAATGTTGCGAGTTAAACCATCCCTTCCTACAAATGATAACATAAAACACCATTCCATAGCCAACAAATTAAATAACTCAGTGATCATCTCCTTCCGTTGAAAATAAGAGGTTTTAAGTTTGAAATCTTGAATTCAAGTCACATGACATGCAAGTGGCATGAGATAAGGGATGAAAGATCCTATTGTGCAACCAAGATGAAAGAAAGAAAAAAACAATTCCATAAAACACCATTCAATAACATGGAACTTAACACCAAGCACCCACATCATATACATGCAAATTCAACAAACCAAAAATGTATAACTGAACCAACCAAAATCAGATTAAAAAGTGCAAGGCAAATCAAGCATGGCCCTTTAAATTACATATTTCAAAAAAATTTACTCCAATATGAAAAAATATATATACGAACAGCAAGAACAATTGTAAAAAAGAAATTAAAGGAAAGAATAAACATATACCCAAAACTATTCAACAAAAACTTCCTCTCAGCGGGAGAGAGTAAGAGGTGCCCCCTGTATCCTCTCTCGCATTTCCACTCCTCCACCAATTTCGGATCCTCTACACCCTCCACCGATTTCACCTTCGGTTCCATGGCCGGCCACAAACCCCAGTCCAGCCGATTGGACCAAATGGAGAATCCTTGGGCTACCTCAATCCATGGGGCTCACCGTCGGGCCACTCTCTGGGTAACTAAACCGAAAATCAAGTGCAACTGGCAAGTCGGCGGGTACAGTCTTTACCTTACCGAGCGATGATGATGGAGGTCGGCACTGATGATTTTGCCATTTTCTTGGGAGTTTCTGGATTAGGGTTAGGCTTTTGGGGGTTTGGTTTGGAGAGAGAGAGAGAGAGTGTGGTGGTTTGAAGAAATAGTGGTCATGGAATTCTGAGCCGTAGGTGGAGGGGGAGAGGTGGCGCGTGAAGAGCGTAAGGGCCTATGAAAGTGGGTGGTGGTGTTGTTGGCGGGGGAGAGGCGAGTGAGGATCATCGACGTGCGTTAGGGAGTCCGTCGCCGGAAAAGAGAAAACAGCGACGGTTTCCGTTAGGCCGTAGGCATTGTCCATCATTAGTTCAGAAACCTTGGGCTTTAATTGGGCTCTCTTGAACTTGAAAGGCCTGGCTCTGCTTTTTTTTATGAGTTAATATCGGTTGCTGTCCTCAACCTTCTCCGTTCTTTTCAATTGAATCCTTCGTACACTAACGTTAGGAGTAAATTGAAAACAAACGTAAAAGATTGGCTGTAGCTAATGAAATTTACATAGCCGTAGGAGTTACAGTCTAACATGTATTTTTTTTTTTTATTTAAATGGTTAGAATATTTTCAAATCAGTTTATATATATCTTAAAATTAATTCTCTTGAAAAATTTTAAAAATGCATCTCTTACATTAATTTAATACATTTAATTTTTGTTTTTACACACTAACTAGCGTAAAACCTGAACAATAAATTTAACTTTCAAGAACACGCTTCTTGTTAATTAATATAATGTACATCAGAGTTAAAAGTTTATGGTGTATTTATTTCCTTTCATAATGAGGTAAAACATTCTAAGATAAGCAATGTTTTTTTTTTTAAAAAAAAAAAAAAAACAAAACAAAAAGAAAAAGAAAAAAAGGGTTAACCTACCTCCTCAATTAGGAAACTCTATGGTACTCTCAATGCCTATCATTTTGATACCGATAGGTTTAATTGCTTAAATTGAACATTAAGGTAAAGTGGTTCTTGATGTTATGGTCTTTAATTTGTTTCCAAGCAACTCCATCTTTATAATTGGTTATTAAGTGGTCCAAAACCCATGTGTCTATAATCTTCATCAACTCAAATTATCCCTAGCTAACCCAAGAGAATAGTTAGTTAGTAATTAGCCGCATGACTCTTGAAAAATTAAAGTCCATGTGTATAACTAAGACAAATGCTTGATTATTAGAGAAAATATTCTTCAATTTCAGCCTAAATAGGGGGATTCAGACACTTTCTAAATCATAAACAACTTTCATTGAGTTAATGAGTTAAATAAGACAGTAGATCATGCAATAACTAAAATGGTCTTGAAATGGCCAGCAAATTTGATATGGTTTATTTCAACTTGTTTGAGAAAATTTCCCTAGTCATATTATGGTGCAACAAACACGAAAGGGCATTTTATGCATTCCTTTTAAGCCGTTATATTGATTAGATCGAGTTTCCTCAACACAAGTAATCTCCAGGTTGAGGCAAAATATGTGAAAGTGATAATTGCACCGAAATTGTTTGTTGTCTTTCTTCTTCTTCTTCTTCTTTTTTTTTTTTTTATTTGTTATTAATCTTCAGGTATCCGGTAACCACATTAGATTTTGATTAATCCAGAATCAAGCTGTATCGAACCTCATTAGGAGAACCGAGCTCCTTCCACTCAGATTAACAGTTAACAGTTTGATGGTGTTTGTTGTCTTTCTTTTAAGACTTCATAACCTAATAGCAATCCAAACCCCTCAATAAGTACAGTTTACGTCTCTCCAATACATTTTTCTTTTTAAAATTTATTACCACATTAATATAACATTGTTTGTGACACAACAATGTTGTTAATATAAGGAACTAATCTCATTAGAAGCCAATTGAACCAGATTATGATCATTAGCTATAGCATGTCAAGAATGAGATTTCTTTGTTGTGTTCTTCTTCTTCTTCTTCCTTTGTTCTTCCTGATTAGCCTCCCTGCAGTATCAGGAGAAGAACCAAAGGTACAACATTTGATCCATACATGTTTTTGTTTCTGAATCTATACCAGTACTATTCATTTTGAAGGTTGAAATATGTACAGGAGTTTTATATTGTTTACTTGGGAGGTGAACCAGATAGCAAGGATTATGCAAATCAAACACACATGAAGCTTCTTTCATCAGTGAAGAGATGGTAATTTTGATAATAATTTTCTTCCTCTGATTATATATGCATTCTCTTGGTTTATACATGTAATTATTATTTCTTTTTGGTTATGTTATTTGAATAGTGAACATGGTGCCAAGGAGTCCATGGTGCACAGCTATACCAAGAGCTTCAATGCATTTGCAGCCAAGCTATCTAAAGATGAAGCAGAGATGTTAATGCGTGGGTAACCATGAAGCCGCTCTTCTGCTCCTACCAAAATTTATCAATAGCTTCTTT